ACATGGGTATGAAGCAAGCCCAGTACATGCAAACAGTAAAATGCAGTTACAGGATTCACAGAAAGAGCACATGGATGACAGGTATGAGAGTTCAAATGTTACAGCAAGCAGTCAAACAGCTCCACTTTCCAGATTATGTTTTTTGTATTCATAGATTTGCCAACTTTTTTGGCTTATCACCCTTTAAAACCTACTATATCAACCCTCAGTACAGTTTTCATATGTCACCAAATGGTGGCCAACTAAAAGAGTCATTTCTTCTGCAGAATTTCATGAGAAAAAAAAAAAAGCAAAGAATAGGAAAAATAAACCCAACTCATGAAGATAGATAGATAGATAATTGGCTGTTGGCTGTGGCTTCATTTTTAGTAGGCAGCTTTGAGGACGGTATCACCTAACTCTCAACAAGAAAGCTGATTAGGTTTTCCCCAAAATGTAGAACCTGTAAAACATGTTAGAGAATTTTGCACCGCCATGAGTCTGAGTGGCACATTGTGATGGATTCAGGAGAAGAAGAGAAGGATGTGTATTTGAAAGCGGAGAAGGCCTCATGTGGATCCAGGGTTTGTCATACGTCTGTAGGTGCAGTGGAAGTCCCACATGTGGCGGTCACCTCTGTATTGGATTTGTTGGGGAGAAACCTCAGACAAACAAAATGCAAATGCATCACACACAGACAGTAGATTGCCTGGCTGTGAATGGCTGCCTTCTGCAGGCTGTGGTCAGACAGTGGGCGCAGTTTGAATATCCCTGTTGTACATGCTTTCTCATGCGTATTGTATTTCAAGCACACTTTCACTGCATGTGTAGCTATTGCATGCACTGACTGCTCTTTACCTGTAGCCAGCAGGAGAAACTGAATTCCTTTTAATCCAATATCGACCAAATACCTGTGTTTTGACTGGAGTTTTAGTGTTGTAAAATGTAATCATGTAAGGAATGATGTAATGGTACATAAGATGAAAATAAATTTAGCAGGTTCATTTGTACCTCAGGCATTGAGTCTGAACTGATATAGAACTGATTTTCCAGTAAATTTAAATGCCCACACATTGACAAGATGACCTACAGTGGGTATGGAAAGTATTCAGACCCCCTTAAATTTTTCACTCTTTGTTATATTGCAGCCATATGCTAAAATCATTTAAGTTCATTTTTTTCCTCATTAATGTACAAACAGCACCCCATATTGACAGAAAAACACAGAATTTTTGACATTTTTGCAGATTTATTAAAAAAGAAAAACTGAAATATCACATGGTCATAAGTATTCAGACCCTTTGCTCAGTATTTAGTAGAAGCACCCTGTTGAGCTAATACAGCCATGAGTCTTTTTGGGAATGATGCAACAAGTTTTTCACACCTGCATTTGGGGATCCTCTGCCATTCCTCCTTGCAGATCCTCTCCAGTTCTGTCAGGTTGGATGGTAAACGTGGGTGGACAGCCATTTTCAGGTCTCTCCAGAGATGCTCAATTGGGTTTAAGTCAGGGCTCTGGCGGGGCCATTCAAGAACAGTCACGGAGTTGTTGTAAAGCCACTCCTTCGTTATTTTAGCTGTGTGCTTAGGGTCATCGTCATGTTGGAAGGTGAACCTTCGGCCCAGTCTGAGGTCCTGAGCACTCTAGAGAAGGTTTTCGTCCAGGATATCCCTGTACTTGGCCACATTCATCCTTCCCTCGATTGCAACCAGTCGTCCTGTCCCTGCAGCTGAAAAACACCCCCATAGCATGATGCTGCCACCACCATGCTTCACTGTTGGGACTGTATTGGACAGGTGATGAGCAGTGCCTGGTTTTCTCCACACATACCGCTTAGAATTAAGGCCAAAAAGTTCTATCTTGGTCTCATCAGACCAGAGAATCTTATTTCTCACCATCTTGGAGTCCTTCAGGTGTTTTTTAGCAAACTCCATGCGGACTT